CAGATTCGAAGAAGAAAGGAGAAAAGAAGAAAACAAAGAAGGAGAAAGACGAGGAAGATTCATCCTCATCGGATGATGATGAAGGAGATGATGACGAGTTGGACGCACACATGGAAGATCAGCTCATGAAAGATGCTAAGGCACTGGGCATTATTCAAAGTGCTGTCTCGAAGGAGATCTTCCCTCGGATTGTGAATCAAGAGACCTCAAAGGGTGCCTGGGATCTACTCCAGGAGGAGTTTCGCGGCGATGAACAGGCAAGATCTGTTAAACTTCAAAGTTTACGTCGTGAATTTGAGTATATGAGAATGAAGGAGAATGAATCTCTATCTGTCTATCTTACTAGACTATTTGAATTAATTAATCAAATGAAATCTTATGGTGAGAACCTCACTCATCAAAGAGAAGTTCAAAAGGTTTTGATTAGTTTGTCCAGTAAATATGATCCAATCTGTGTTGTGATTGAAAGAACTTCTTATTTGAATACTGTGACTGTGCAAGAAGTGGTAGGATCTCTTAAGAGTTATGAGCTTAGATTGAGTAGACATGTTGATGAAATTACAAGCACGGAGCATGCTTTCTCCACTATGGGTCTTGTACCTAAAGCACAGAATAGGCCACTCACACAGGGAAATCACAGTAAGGGAAAGAAGAATTGGAAGTCTATGTCTAGGAAGTGGGAAAACAACACTCGACAGCCTGAAAGACAGGGCGAGATCACTGAGGGTGTTAAACAAAAGTGCAAGATCTGTGATAAGGCTCATCATGGAGAGTGTTGGTTCAAAGGAAAACCTAAGTGTCATAACTGCAACAGATTTGGACATGTAGTGAGAGATTGTCACCAACCAAAGAAAAATCATACTGCAAATTATTTGAATCATGTTCAAGATAATGCAATGATGTTCTATGCCTGTCATAAGGCCTCTGTGCAAGAAAACAATGGTGTTTGGTATTTGGACAGTGGTTGCAGTAACCACATGACCAGTACTGAATCATTGATGATCAATATTGACAGAAGTATAAGGTGTAAGGTGAAAATGGGCACAGGGGAATTGGTTGACTCAGTTGGCAAAGGCACACTGATTGTGGAGACCAAAAGAGGCACTCGGTTCATACCAGAAGTAATGATTGTACCTGGTTTGGATGAAAATCTTCTCAGTGTAGGACAAATGGTTGAACATGGCTATTGGTTGTTGTTTGGTAATTTCATGGCCTGCATATTTGGAGATCGTGAATTGCAAGATCATATAGCCACTGTGAAAATGAAGGGAAATAGATGCTTTCCACTAATGTTTAATCATGTGGATCATATTGTAGCAAATATTGCTACCACTGAAGGTAACACATGGAAATGGCACAGAAGATTTGGGCACCTAAACTATGACAGCCTGAGAATGTTACAAGAAAGGAGTATGGTGTATGGTCTGCCATATCTAAAGGAGTACAATCAGGTATGTGAAGGGTGTGCTACTGGAAAGGCTCACAGAGAGGCTTTTAGCAAAGAACAGAAATGGAGAGCAAAGTTGCCATTAGAACTTGTACACACAGATGTGTGTGGACCCATGAGTGAAACACTTGGAGGTAGCAGGTATTTTCTCACCTTCATAGATGACAAGTCCAGAATGTGTTGGGTCTATTTTCTGAAGTGCAAATCTAAGGTATTCAGAATTTTTAAAATGTTCAAGGCCATGACTGAATTACAAACTGGTTACAAACTGAAGAAAATCAGAAGTGACAGATGAGGAGAGTACACATCTCTAGAATTTGAAAGATTTTGTGAAGATGTTGGTATTGAAAAGCAACTCACTGTTGCTTATTCTCCCCAGCAAAATGGTATTGCTGAAAGGAAGAATCGTACCATAGTTGAGATGGCAAGAACCATGCTCTATGAAAAAAAATTACCACTCAAGTTCTGGGGTGAAGCAGTTCACACTGCTGTCTACTTGCTTAACAGGTGTCCTACCAAAGCACTAGAGAACAAGACTCCTTTTGAAGAATTCTGTGGTAGAAAACCAGGGGTAAAACACTTGAGAATCTTTGGTTCTGTTTGCTACACTCATGTGCCAACCCAGTTAAGACAAAAACTGGACAGAAATGTGTATTTGTTGGATATGGGACAAGAGAAAAGGGTTACAGGGTGTATGATCTGAAACACAACAACATCATTGTCTCAAGGAGTGTTATTTTTGATGAAGATGCTGCTCTTAATTGGGAGAATATGGAAACTGTGCATTTCTCGGTACCTTTCTCAGAAGCTAATGAGGGTATAAGCATAACTGAGATAGAAAATGGCGTGTGTGAAGAAACTAATATTAGTTCCTCTGGTTTATCTTGCCCAAATACAAGAAGTGAGTATGTTTCCAGTGTACACAATGATGCTCCTAACACTGTGAATATGGAGAGTGAAATTCCACTCACAGAAACCTATGACAACACACCAAAGAAGTGGAGAGATCTGAATGAAGTGTTTGCTCAGTGTAGACTCAGTGTCATTGAACCTGAGAATTACATTGAAGCTTCTCAAGATGAAGCTTGGAAGAAAGCAATGGATGAGGAGATTACTATGATTGAGAAGAATGACACTTGGAGATTGGTTGATAGACCAAGTGACAAACCAATTGTTGGGGTAAAATGGATCTTCAAAACCAAATTGAATTTGGATGGCACTGTACAAAAACACAAGGCAAGATTAGTTGCCAAAGGATACACTCAAAAGCCCGGAATTGATTTTAATGAGACGTTTGCACCTGTGGCTAGATTGGATACTATAAGAACACTCATTGCTTTGGCAGCACAGAAAGGGTGGAAACTGTACCAGTTAGATGTAAAGTCTGCTTTCCTGAATGGGATCCTTGAAGAGGAAGTGTATACAGATCAGCCAGATGGATATATTGTCAAGGGAGAAGAACACAGAGTATATAAGTTAAAAAAGGCCCTGTACGGTCTAAAACAAGCTCCCAGAGCTTGGTACAGCAATATTGATACTCATTTGCTGCAGAGTGGATTTAAAAAAAGTCCAAGTGAGGCCACCTTATATGTGAAACATGTGGATGGACAGGGAACTCTGATTGTCTCTATATATGTGGATGACATAGTTTATACTGGAAGCTGTTTAGAAATGATTGAAGATTTCAAATGTGATATGATGAACAAGTATGAGATGTCTGACTTAGGCTTGTTACATCATTTTCTTGGAATTGGAGTAATCCAACAAGAAGGGAGTATCTTTATTCACCAGAAAAAGTATGCACTGAGTTTACTGGACAAGTTTGGTTTGAAGAGCTGCAAGTCTGTCTCAATACCTTTACCTCCCACGGATAAGCTAAGGAAAGGTGATGGGAGTGAAGCTGCAGATGAAGAATTGTATAGGAAAATTGTTGGCAGCCTTCTATACTTAACTGCAACAAGGCCTGATATCTTGTACTCAGCATGTGTACTTGCCAGGTACATGCACTGTCCTTCCATCAAACATCTTGGCACTGCAAGGAGGATCCTCAGATATGTGCAAGGAACTGTTGACTATGGAATTAAGTATGAAAAGGGAAATGCAGCTCTACTCATAGGATTTTGTGACAGTTATTGGAGTGGAGATGAAGATGACATGAAGTCCACATCAGGGTATGCTTTCAGCTTTGGCAGTGGTGCATTTTCTTGGGCTTCTGTAAAGCAACAGAGTGTTGCACTCTCAACTGCTGAAGCCGAGTATATGAGTGCCTCAAAAGCCACCACTCAAGCTACATGGCTGAGATTTGTGCTGCATGATTTTGGTGAAGAATTGATCGAACCAACTCCTTTGATGTGTGATAACACATCAGCAATTGCAATGTCAAAGAATCCGGTATTCCATCAGAGGTCTAAACATATCAAGAGGAAGTTTCATTTCATCAGAGATGCAATTCAAGAAGGAACAATTGACCTGCAATACTGCAAAAGTGAGGAGCAACTAGCTGACATTTTCACCAAAGCACTTGCTAAAGACAGATTCTGTGCTTTGAAGGATAAGCTTGGGGTAATCTCAGTTAAGACCTTAGAAGGGAGTGTTAGTTGATTAAGGTCTAAACTGTATTTTCCTTACTTTAGCAAGTGTAAATAAATCAGTTAGTGATCAAGGGCTGAGATTAGATGATATTGTGCTAGGCTTGGATGTAAACATGTGTCAAGATCTCATAGGGTCTTGTAATGAATGGTATGATGAGCTCATAGGCTCACGTAGCTTCTCTCTCCCTAGTAGTCATGTAAATGTTGAGGAAAGAAGGAATATATGCAGCAGAGCATTCTTTGGCTCTCTCTGAGATTTTTGAGAACTCTCTCTGTCTTTTCATTTTCTCTCTAAAAACTTCTTCTTCTTATGCACATTTCTAAATACATCACTGCATAACAGGAAAGTCCAACAGTTTCCAGGTCTTGCACTGAAGCTGAATATAGGCAGCTTGCATACACTGCCGCTGAGTTGCCTTGGTTATGTTCGTGTTTTAGGGACGTACATTAGAATCTTCTAAGATAACAGATTTGGTGTGATCATTTGTCTTCCATTGCCTCAGCATCCAATCCAGTTTTCCACTCAAGAACCAAGCACTTAGAAGTTGATTATCATTATGTCAGGGAGAAGGTGATTAGAGGTGAGCTACTAGTGAATTTTATTTGTTCACAAGATCAAATTGCTGATTTGTTCACGAAGGGTTATCTTCATCTTGATTTAAACTGCTGGTGTCACAAGATCAAGTCAGACTTCTAGTTTCCAATCATACTCTCGGGTTTGTTATCTGTGTGATTCATCCTTATTTCAACAGAAGTCTGTTAGTTCTAAGTTTTACAACAACCTTTCCAATGATCTCCGGAAAAATAGTCTCAATGCTTATTTCTGTTCTAATCAAACCAAAGTTGTTGAGCAAAAAGTGTTGTTTCCTTAGCAACGTTTCTGTTTCTGGACTACTAGTTTGCATTAGTTGCAAAATCAGACAGAAACAAATCAATTTCTGCCAGAGTACAGAAATTTGAATTCAACCCCTAGTGTACATGTTAACGCTAATGGCGTCGCGAGTTTCCAAGGTACCCACTTGCTGCATTGGGCAAGATGATCAGATTGTTAATCAATCTTCTTAATGCCCAAGTAATCTGCAAAAGTGTTTATACATCAACATTCTTATCCACTTTGCCTTTCAGTAAATATAGCCATCTTAATATATAGCTCGAAAGATTGATTACATTGACTAAGATATCGAAACAAAAAATAATTTTGATGACAATTAAGCTAATGTGATAAATCGATGGTTACTTACTTGCATTTTTGTGACATGGCGACTAGTTACAACGCCTTTTGCGAATTTTTTCTGTATTGTTGAAGCTAGCACTTCCAGGTCCACTTGGAGCTGCCTTGTCATGATATATGCTATGTTTGTTTCAGTAGTTTTTGGTTGAGTTCTTTCAAATCTTGCTCGTACACCAAACGAGCCCCACACTTCTTCACCATATTCAAGTCTGCCTTTAGTTGTCCCTTGATATCAAAAAAATAAGTTTCGAATAAACACTGTTCCTGAAGACAATTTTCACGACGTTGATTTCTATAACGACGCAGATAAAATAGGCAAAGGTGTTCTGACACAACAGACCCTATGCGGTTGATCAAAACTCTATGGCTAAAATGTGCATCTAAATACCAAATTTCGAATCTATCATAATGACGAAGGGCAGCTGGATTTGCCAAGTTTTTCTTAAGGTCTTGAAAAACAACACAGAAGGCAATCCCAAGCCAGTTGGTACATGATGGTGGAGGAAGCTCCACATTTATTGAATGTCCCACATTCTGATTATTGAACCACTTTGGAATTTCACTTCCAGGGATTACAATTTTCAATCTCTGTAGCAGAAGAAAGATCAATTATTTAGAGAGAGAGAGAGAGAAGGAGAGAGAGAGAGCGAGAGAGAGAGAGAGTACCTGAATGACAAATTTTGGAATCTTATTAATCAAGTCTTCATCTTGAACCAATGCAATGCAATTCCGGCAAGTGACATAATCACCATAAAAACTGGATGGACCTGACAACCTTTGTAAGGAAGTGCAATTGTCCAGATTTACTCTTAATCCTCTGTTTGATGGAAGAGGTGGCAATTTTTGAAGGCTTTTCCACCCCTCCAGATCAAGACTGAAAACTTTAGAAAGGTGTCTAAAGCTTTGAGGTAGACTGATGAAATTATTTCTACTAAGATACAATACTCCCAGTAAGGACAAGCAGCCAATATCATCGGGGATATCCCCCTCCCGAAGATTACAATTCGCTAGAGATAACTCTGTCAAAGAGCATAAACGATTTAGAGAAGATAACACCAAACCCCAACAAAAAGGAGGATCAGGGCGACTCTTTTCAAGTCCAAATAAGCGGCAAAGGACCCACCCATCCCTTGCTTTACCATCCGATCCACAAGTGGCTATGTCAAAATTTGTCTTAAATACTAGACGTTTGAGATTTTTCATGCTCACAAGCGGCTCTGTCATAGTGGGTCCCCAGCAAAACGCCTCTAAGTGATCCATGTCTCCTGGGAGTTTGTCAATCTTTAAGCATCCACTCGCACTGAGATATCCAAGAGACTTCAAATTACAAATCACCCTTGGAAGGTTCAAGAGATTTTTGCAATTCCTTACATGCAATTCCTTGAGGCCAACCAGATGTTCATTTGTTTCTCGATCGTAGTCCCATCTAAGTGAATCCGCAATACATTCTTCATCTGCTCCCCAAATTCTGGAATCTTTTTCACATTTGAGCAGCCATCAAGATCGAAAGTCTCAAGAGAATCCATTTCAACCTCACTTGGGAGGCTATTAATGCTTTCACAGCCATTAAGAAGCAAATGTTTAAGCCTTTTGAGAACTGCAATAGACGGGTGAATCTCAACTAAATTCTTACAATTCCAAAGAATCAACTCCTCAAGATTTGGAATACCATTGAAATCTGGGGTACTCTTCAATTTATTGGAGTAGCTAAGATCGATATATTTCAAGTTGGGCAAGTCCTATACAACACCACCGATAACGTTCAGATCATATACTTAACTTCCACAACCTTAAAGTTTATTCAAAATAATAAATAAATAAATATATGATTATTTTGTAAATTAAATAGCATTTATTCTCAATGAATATTGAAAAAAATTAGGACCTTCGAGATTGTACAATAAAAAAATGTCAAGCGTTCCTTATTTTTAAAACTCAAGAAAAATTAAATAACACGCCTATTACTTTTTAAAATAATGTGTTAAAATATCATTGGACAAAATCAAAAATTGAGTATTGACTAGTGAGTAACCAGTATTATCTTTTGTTCATAACTACTCTTACCACTTTTCCCTCCCAAACACGAACAAGATTGCTATTACACATCTTTAGTTGAGCAAGCAAGTGCGGGCGAAAGCTAGTTGGAAGAAAATTAGAAGGATACCAACTCCAATTTATAATTCTCAAGGAACATGGAAGAAATTTGGGACCTGAAGAAAAGATCAAATTATCGAATTCCAAAAACCTCAGTCCATCCATCTTAGAGAAGGCTTTGCAATTCCACTGGCGCACCTCTTCTACTTTGAGCAGGCGTAAGGATACGGCTTCAATTGCTCTTGTTCCCTAACAATTAAGGAAAAAAAGGACGAATTAATTTTATATAATAATATAGTGTCAAAAGATATCATATCTTCTTCTAAACTGAGTATTTAACTTCTTACCGTATTCGTCGTGAATACATGATAAATATCATTGTAAAGCCACAACCTACTGCGTTGACCAGGCTCTTTAGACTCGTGAGCAATAACTGTCCATGCCATTTCTTGAATCAAATCATGCATCCATATGCATTTTTCATGATCTTGATAGATGAGAGATCTCTCAATTAGTACATCTATCATAATACTACTAGATAATCCAAAAGAATCATCTAGCATTTCAATTACTCGCTTTGTGTACTTCCCTTTGTGAAAACATGCAACATCGAGAAAAATTCTCTTCTCCCACTCTTCTAGTCCATCATAACTTATTTTAAGTTTATAAAAAATTGTTGGATTAGGAATTTTTGACAGATTATCCCACACACTATTCCAAGTGTCTAGCCTTCTCTTAAACAATGCCGACCCCAAAGTTTCAAGAGCTAATGGAAGGCCTCCAGCATAATTCATGAAATATGTTGATAGTTCCCAAAACCCATCCTCAGGCAGATTTTTCTTAAAGGCATGTAGGCTAAACAGTTCAAGAGCTGCGCCTTCATCCAACACTTTGACATTATGACATAATGTTACGTCATGCTGGACTAGCAGACGTTCATTTCTAGTTGTAATGATAATTCGACTTTCCATGCCAAACCAATCTTCCTTTCCAGCTAGTACTTGTAGCTGGTTTATGTGATCCACATCATCGAGTACAAGAAGAACCTTTTTGTTGCGTAAGCACTTTTTAATGAAAATGATTCCGCGCTCTTCATCCCAAATTTCTTCAATCTTTTCCTTCAACATAGGGTGCAAAAGTCTTTTTTGAAGATCAACGTTAGAAACCTCTCTAATGTTGCCAAGAAAGCAGGGAACTTCAAAATGATGAAAGATTCTATCATACACAAGCTTAGCAAGGGTGGTCTTACCTATGCCACCCATCCCCGTTATCCCTATAAAGCGAACATCATTGACATCATGAGCTAACAACGAACTTAGTTGCTCAAGCCCAAAATTAACCCCAACTAATTCCTGTGAGGGATCTAACAACGGGAATGTAGCTTGCACTTTCTTCCACACACTTTTGACGAGTTGTTGTATAATCTCACTTTCACTCCTACATGGTATGAAATAACCAATCAAAAAAACATAAACGAAGCATTCAATTTTGACTCTACTAAGACATGGGAAATTAAAGTTGTTCATGCTTACTTAGATTCCTTAGAATGCCACCCAGAAATTTTGGATACTTTTTTCAGAGCCTCTCTCCACTGGGTCACCTTCATCTTGTCTTCGGTACTAATGAACTTTTCTTCATGCTCATCGAAGGCTTTGGCAAAAGACCCCTTCTGATTTCCAACGTCAGATGGATCTGTCTCATAAAAGACCGGTAGAATAGAGTTCCTGGCTTCCATGCGCTTAAGGATGGTTGTAAGTTCCTTCAAGCACCATTTGGAAGAAGCATAGTCTGGTGAGAGAACGACGATTGCAATTTGCGATTCTTCGATCGCTCTTGGGAGCTCAGAAGGTGTTAGGGTAATATTGGCAATCCCTGACAAAATGCCTGAGTCTGTAATAGCTTAGACTTGTTACATATTTACAATTGTAATAGTTTTAGTCTAGGGAGGTTTCTCACACTTTCAATGCGAAGATGTTACTAAAACACGATACTCATCCAGGTACGTTTGCATGCATGCATCCAACTACATTCATCTGATATCTCATGTTATTGTATTTGGGTTAGGACTCTTACCCTTTGTGGGTTTTATCTCTTTAGAATGACTTATCCTTTCTACATTAATTATTAAAACATGATTTCAAAATAATCTGATTGCATGGGAGTTATCTAAATGGTTTTCCATCCTTATCAATTTAATTGGTGAGGTGCCGTGAGGTATACAGGAGGTTAGGGTTTTGTTTTGTTTAAAAGGCAGCCACACATGCATATATTTGGGCGTTCTTTGACAAACAAAAGATAGGCAGCAGCTTGGCGTTTTTGGGAATAAGGAAAAAAATATTTTTGATATTGCTGCTGTCTTGTGGTTTCAATAGCATGTGTTTTTAAAGAGAAAATATTATTTTCATGCTGATTTTCATTTGGTTTTTTATTGAATGTCAATTATGGAAATGTGCCTTGTGATTTTCGTAATTGATTGTTTTTCAAACAAACACTTCATCATATAAACATTCTGCATGATCGAGTTAGCATCCTGCAAAGTTTGAGGGAAAGGTGATTGACGGCTGCGTTAGTGTCGTGCCACTTCAACTCGAAGACTGAAGAAAGATCGAGTAGCAAAGCGCGGAGACAAAGCTGCCAACTGGTATGAGTGTCTAGTTGATGAGTTTTGTAAGTCTTTATGTATTCTTTCTTTCTTAGTGCTTCCTGGCTTGGTAGCCCGAGGATTTTCCCAGTGGTGGGTTTTGCCTCGTAAAATCCTACATCATGTGTGTACTTTTTATTTATCGTTTTAATTCCATATGAGTATGATAGTTTGATATGTGATATGAATATGGATTTAATTTGAGAACTGAAAATTAAATTGAAAATTGAATTGGATTTTTAAATTGGAACCTATTCACCCCCTCTAGGTTAAACTAGTACCCATCCTAGAACTTTCAATTGGCACCAGAGCAGGTCACTAAAAATACCTAGTGAGATCCGTGGGTAGTCTAGGATGAATCGTGCTATGGGTTCAGTTTCTCATCCACCACATTTTGATGGTGACAACTATGCTGCGTGGAAGTAAAAAATGAAATCGTTTTTATGGGCGCAAGATGACAAGGTGTGGCTTGCTGTTGAAGAAGGTTGGGAACCTCCAACGATTGAAGAAACTAAAGATAAAGGAGAATCCTCTGTGTCGATATCTAAGCTTAAGCCTAGGAAAGAATGGAGCAATGATGAGCGTAGCTCTAGCACTTTTAACCAAAGGGCTTTGAATTCTTTATTCACAGCCGTTTCGCCTGAACAATTCAATTACATAAGTAAGTGTACAACGGCAAAAGAAGCTTGGGACATTCTTGAAGTTACTCATGAGGGTAACTCAACTGTTAAAGAATCCAAACTTCAACATCTCATCACAAAATTCGAAAATATCACAATGTCTGATGATGAAAGTTTCTCTGACTTTTATGCTAAGCTTAGCGTAATTGTCAATGGCTGTCACAATCTTGGTGACAGTATTCCTGAGCATAGGATTGTGAAAAAGATCTTAAGATCACTTCCTATGAGGTTTCATGCTAAGAGGACAGCGATTGAGGAATCGAAAGATCTAAACACCTACAAGCTTGAGCAATTAATTGGGTCTCTGCAAACGTACGAGTTAGAGCTTCCTGATTCTAAGAAGATGAAAAGCATTGCTCTCAAAGCTGTCAAAGAAGAAGAAAGTGATGGCTCAATTGAAGACTTGTCCGAAGATGAATTGGTTGAATTAACCATGCAAATTAGAAGGTTTCTCAAGTCTCAAAAATCCAAGGGTCGTGAGCAACGAACCAACTCAGGTTCGAACTCAAAAAACTTTCGTTCTCTAGATGTCTCACATGACAAAGCCTCTAGATCATCTAGAACTAGTGAACATAGGAGTTCTAACAATAGGGTTCAATGTCATGAGTGTCAAGGCTATGGACACATTGCTTCTGAGTGTGCAAACACTATCAAGAGAAAAGAGAAGAAGAATAGGGCAATGAAGGTCACTTGGAGCGATAGTGATTCAGGGGAGGCATCTACGTCGGAATCTGAGAAGGATACGATTGCGTTTATAGGAACTGTTGATGGATATGACACAGAAGGTTCATTTGTTGAAGAACCTGACTTGGAAGAAGTCTTGAGAAAATATTCTGATCTCTATGACATCAGTGTGCAAGTAAAGAAGGATAACTCTAACTTGAAGAAGAAACTTGCACTTGTAGAAAGTGAAAAGAAAGAAGCTGAAGTTGAGCATCAATCTCAGTTGGACAATGGAGAGAAACTGCGAGAGTCATTGTTAGAGAAGATACATATTCTTCAAACCACAATAAGCACTCTCACGTCTAATAAGAAAGCTCTTGAGGATGAATTGGTTGAGATGAAAAACAAAGTTCAGGAATTAAGCATAGGTTCGGGAAAAATTGACAAGATGCTTAGCTATGGAAAGAATTTTGGAGATAAAAGAGGTCTAGGATTTGAGTCTGAAAAGACTATTAGTTCTTCTTCCATCACAAGATTTGTCAAAGCATCTGATATTCCTAGCTCAAGAGTAGGTGCTGATCAAGGTGTAGGTCTTACTTCTGAAACATCTACAATCTTTGCAAATGTGTCAAATCCTACCAAGACTTCAATTAATCCTAATAAACCCAAACAATCTAGGAAGTTCATTCCTATATGTCATTTTTGTGGGATCCCTGGTCACATCCGGCCTAAGTGCAATAAGCTTAGAAAGAAAAATTCTTCTCAAGAAAAAGTTTCAAGGAACTTTGAAAAAGAAAATCTTAAGGAACAATTTGTGACTTATTTGAAAGAGATTAATCGGATTGCAAGAATTATATCTATTCCAAGTACGGTAGTTCCAAAAGTAAGACAAGTTTGGAGAAGAAAAGAGAATCAAAGTGGTGTACTTGTCAATTTATCTCCACTTTCAAGTTGTTTATATTGACTAAGCTCTCTCTTTGCAAATGTTTTCATTAATGCATGCTTGCATGTTCATATAGCATAAATACTGCATTTTTTGTCCTTCTTCTTGTTAAAAATAAAAAATAAAAATAAAAATAAAAATTTTTAAAAATGTATGAGGAAAAAATGGAAAAGTATGATTTCATATGAATTCTAGCTTTGTTCACTTGATAACATGACCCTAGCATGATATGTTTGACTCTGTTGTGGACAATAGCCTATTGTTGATAATATATCAATGTTAATGAGTTGAACATGTTTAACTTGAGTAAAACCCGCACCCATGTGAGCTTTTGTGCCTAAAATATAGTGTGTGCATTTTTCATACACTCTTATTTTTTTCATGTGTGTGATCTTATGTGTTTTGCTTCTCTAGAACTTGCTTTGAGACCTCTCAAAACTTTGTATCACATATTATTCTATTTTGGAGACGATAGTAGGCATTAGGACTTACCATCATTGCCATATATGCCAGTGCCTTATATGTTTTCCCCCAGTTAACCCTTTTGAGCCTATATGTAAGCCTTTTGTTCTTAAACCTACATTTTCCTTACCTAGCCTCTTACATTAAAAATTCCCTACCCTACTAAGAAGCTAGTAGAGTACGTTTTTCAAAGGAGAGAGTTCAATGTTATTTTAAAAGTTGAAGATGCAAAATTTTTGTGAAGAAAGCCAACAACACATGAAAAGCAAAAGAAGAAAAGAGGAAAATAAGTCACTATGAATCATAAGTGAGCTGCCAGCATTATAAGAAATCAAGTGTGTTGGTCTAAATGAAGAGCAAGAATCATCTGAAATGAATTGTGCGGTTGTATGTCGTTCATGTCTTAAATCCAACCGCTCAATTGAGTGCTAAGTTACCTGGTTCGTTGTTATATTTCTCTCTTGGTTTCATTTCCAACTACTCTATTAGTTTCTTAGACTTTGTGTTTCCTATATCCTTCATTTCTTTAACCGAGTACCTGAAGCCGCATTACAACCCTTCACAAAGACCTACTTGATCCAAAGAAGGTAATTTTTGATGTGTGGAGATGAGATCAATCTGCAAGCCTATGGTAGAACATTCATGTAATGATCTTTTGAGCGTATACACTTACCCCCAAACACTTTGAATGAAAATTCGAGCGTATATCTTGTGAGCTTAAGGGTTAAAGTTAAGTTGGTCCTGTAAGACTTAATTACATTTGTGTAGTATCAACTTTCGGCTATACTTGCAACTACACTCATACATGTTATATTTTAGGGACAATGTTAGCTTGTGAATGAGGATTCATAACTACATGTGTCTTTGCACTCTTTCATTCTTGTTGGAACAATTATATGCTTCTCATAAAAATAAAAAAAAAAATTAAAAAAAAAATATATATATATATATATACATATATATATATATATATATATATATATATATCATATCATTTGCGTGCTGCATTTCATTATATTTTTTAAAGCATTTGTTTAGGGGGAGCTTAACAATATGAAAGATGTTCGTTTCTTTCCATGTTTATTCTTTTGATCATTACTTTGATATTCTTTTCCTCCCAATTTCGTCCCCACTTTTATTTTATCACATTTTGTTTTGTTCCACTTATCTTCCGCTGACTGCACCTGATGGTTAACTCTAAGGCCTTTGACCTTTCTAGACAAAAAGGGGGAGAAGTAGGAAGCCTATATTTAGGGGGAGAAGTAGAATTTCGAAAGCCTAGTTGTTTTTGGTTGCTTGCTATTATAGATAAATGCTTTCATTTACAGCAGCATATATCTTTTGTACGTCACAGGTTTTCTTGTTTGAGTGTGTGCAGGTTACAGACTTCAATGTTATGCATGGTCGTTAAGTTTATTAGTTGTCTGTAATACTGTGATAGAGGATTTTGTCTAGGAAATGCCAAAGGGGGAGATTGTTAGGGTAATATTGGCAATCCCTGACAAAATGCCTGAGTCTGTAATAGCTTAGACTTGTTACATATTTACAATTGTAATAGTTTTAGTCTAGGGAGGTTTCTCACACTTTCAATGCGAAGATGTTACTAAAACACGATACTCATCCAGGTACGTTTGCATGCATGCATCCAACTACATTCATCTGATATCTCATGTTATTGTATTTGGGTTAGGACTCTTACCCTTTGTGGGTTTTATCTCTTTAGAATGACTTATCCTTTCTACATTAATTATTAAAACATGATTTCAAAATAATCTGATTGCATGGGAGTTATCTAAATGGTTTTCCATCCTTATCAATTTAATTGGTGAGGTGCCGTGAGGTATACAGGAGGTTAGGGTTTTGTTTTGTTTAAAAGGCAGCCACACATGCATATATTTGGGCGTTCTTTGACAAACAAAAGATAGGCAGCAGCTTGGCGTTTTTGGGAATAAGGAAAAAAAATATTTTTGATATTGCTGCTGTCTTGTGGTTTCAATAGCATGTGTTTTTAAAGAGAAAAATATTATTTTCATGCTGATTTTCATTTGGTTTTTTATTGAATGTCAATTATGGAAATGTGCCTTGTGATTTTCGTAATTGATTGTTTTTCAAACAAACACTTCATCATATAAACATTCTGCATGATCGAGTTAGCATCCTGCAAAGTTCGAGGGAAAGGTGATTGACGGCTGCGTTAGTGTCGTGCCACTTCAACTCGAAGACTGAAGAAAGATCGAGTAGCAAAGCGCGGAGACAAAGCTGCCAACTGGTATGAGTGTCTAGTTGATGAGTTTTGTAAGTCTTTATGTATTCTTTCTTTCTTAGTGCTTCCTGGCTTGGTAGCCCGAGGATTTTCCTAGTGGTGGGTTTTGCCTCGTAAAATCCTACATCATGTGTGTACTTTTTATTTATCGTTTTAATTTCATATGAGTATGATAGTTTGATATGTGATATGAATATGGATTTAATTTGAGAACTGAAAATTAAATTGAAAATTGAATTGGATTTTTAAATTGGAACCTATTCACCCCCTCTAGGTTAAACTAGTACCCATCCTAGAACTTTCAGAAGGAATACTTGTTCCTCCTTCAAGCTCTCGATCGTCCATGAAAGTCGTAATTCCTTGGCAATTGCACAATTCATGGTATAAATGGGATACAAAACCCTTGCGGGTGTCTACACCCCTGAAACTCAAAAGCACATCATACTTCCATCGAGGAGCTGATTCATTCAAAACACAGGATGTCGAGGCTCTTTGGGTGCTTAATGCCATCGAAAAAAGGTAGTTGATGTAAACAGGTACTGCAAACATGAAACAATAATTGAATGAACAAGTAAAAAGATAGCAGATCAATGCCGAGGCTTTTGGATGTGATATTCACACATCTTTTTTTATTTCTCTCGTATCTTTTTAATTTTCGATCGTCGGATTAGATGAATTAAAGAAGATCAATGACATAAATTAATAAAAAATGCGAAAAAAGTAAAAAAATGTGTATGGATAGCACATCTGTATAATATATTTTCATGTCTCTTTAATTGTCCGTTAATTCGTTTGTTACCAATGTACAAGGCAGTGGATGGTTTTCTTTTGGTTCCCATCAGCAGATTCAGCACAGAGACAAAGAATGGCAGCCTATGCCTTTCGGTTCCTAAAAAACAGACAAAGATGGACACTTGGACAGCCCGAGTTCATCTGTTGGTAGTAGTGGTGATGGTGGTGACCAGACAGTCTAGGGTGGGTCATAGTGTCAGCTAATGAATTATTTTTATAACAAAAAACAAAAAAAGTTAATATGATTGTTAGGATGGGAAAAGGATTTCCGGATCTATTATTCTCACATTTCAATCATTATCGTTTATCTTACGATCATTTTTCATCCGATGTTATTTAAGTTTAATTTAAAATAATAAAAATTAAATAATTTTTTACTATACAATATACTATGAATAGCTGAATTATGAAGATTCCTGAGATCCCCACGTAATGGATCTAGAGGGATCCTTTTTCGTTTGGATGACCTAAACTAAGAGTAAAAGAATAAAAAATTTAGGGTGGTTTGTAGGGTGTTATATCTGTTATATTTTGGTATTTGTATTTCTAAACAAAGATTCAATTGTTAAAATATTCAGCGTATCTCATATTCTCAAGTATCGTAAAAATTTCGTATAAAAAACAATTGGTAATGGTCCAAAAAAAGAAAGAGAAGTTATGGTTAAACGTCACTCAATCTTTTTTCTTTATGTGAAATGTGAGCATTAAGACAATGGTGTAATTAATCTATTACGTGTTATCATGTCACAATGTTAAAACACGGAGGTAAATTTGAGTCACACCTAACGTTTTGGTGCAAGGTAAATCCGTCTGAAAGAAGCAACAGGGAAATCTCCATACAAGAGCTGTCCACTTCCCAATACTCGTTCAAGAGAAAAACCGAAGTTGAAGGACAATTATTTTCCACCAAAAAAGTGGCAGACCGACCATGGCATATTTCCATTCCTTGTTGGGACATGTTATCTTTCTTCTGAGAAAGGATTTCATGTCTCTGTTTTTTTCAAGAGGAAGATAATTATGTCACCCACTATAAAACTTTTCTCATCATTTTGGGTGCGTTTGGTACGCAGACAGAACGGAACGGAACGGGACGGGACGGGACGGGACGGAACGAAGGTGTAATTTTTGAAAAAGACATGGGGTATATTTGTCTTAAAATGGTAAAACATTGTGTTCCACAAACGTGGAACAAACCCGTTCCAGGGGGGGAGGTGGAACGCAAAAACACTCAAAATCTGTCCCGTGGAACAGCCCGTTCCACCCATTTTTGGCGCACCAAACGCGGGACGGAACGCCTCGTCCCGTTCCGTCCCGTCCCGTCCCACGTACCAAACGCACCCTTTAGGAACCAGTCTGCAGTGCATGAAACATGTTTCTCCAAAGACACTGACTACAACAATATCAATTAAACTCTACCAAAACAATTGAGGCTAAAATGATCAATTACCCGTTTCTGCCCATAATAGGCAGAAAAATAATTGGATCATATGGTTCTACAAAAGAACTCTTCTTTACTGTCAATCACAACACATAAATAAATTAAAGACATCACTTTGTTAATGTGATAATTTTCTCAAACTCAATCAGACACCCGTTAATAAATAATACAGTGACGGTATGTACGATGAAAAGTATGAGCCACAATATGATCTTTGATATATTTGTATTGAGTGAATTATGTTAATGATAATGTATCTATATAAAAGCACAACAATTTGTTTATACAAGTGTATATATACACAACAACTACATCGTTTTGAGTGTTACTGCATTGTCCTCCTGTAAAAGACAAAATTACAAAAACTACATCGTTTGAAGTGGTACTTTAGTTCGGTTCGGTTTTTGAACCATAAAGCTAAAACCAAACTAACCAATTTCTATTTAGTTCGGTTTTGTATCGATTCGGTTTTTTTCGATTTTCGAATTTTTTAACCAGCCCTATTTTAATCTAGTGTAGCCCTGACTCAAGGGCTCACCAAATTTGTTCCCAGTCAGATGCAATTGATAAGGGTTTTCGATTTTTGTATGAAATCTGAATCCTAAGTAGTATTTGAAACATTAAAACATTAAAACATTGGATCCATATCAATTAATTCAATGTTTACTTATTAGGAATAAGAAAATGAAGGAATGAGAGAACTTAGAAGTATGAAAATGTAAGAGAAGGGAATCGGCTCAACTAGCCGTCCTAGTCGATATGCTTCCTGATATTTTGATATTTGATAACAAATATTAAAGAAAGTTAACATTTTTTCAATTCCTTACGAATTAGTAAATACAAGAGAAAATTTACATAATTACATTCGAAATAGACAACTACTTCCAAAATCAATTTTTTCAATACCAAACCAATATAGTTAGTGATATTTATCTTTTATTTAACTCAAGCCCTATAATGTAAAATATTGTTGTTTATTAAAAAATAAAATAAAAATCAACCTATAGAATTTAGTTTGGTTCGGGCTGTTTGAAAAATGGGCCGAGATCCATTTGCAACCCATATCTCGAACTCCAAGTCCCCGTTACTTCGCTTCCAACGGAATTTGCAGCCCATTTTCCCGCGAGATCCCGCGTCTCCAATCTTCGTCGTTACGTTTTCATCTTCTTTTACTCCTTGGCTTCCTGAATCCGATTCTGGAGCTCCATCGCCACCATCGTCAATCCAAAGATCACATCATGAAGCTTGCTCTTTCCATCCTCTTCCTCTCTCTCAGGCTTCTCCTCTTTTCTTCGTCCTGCCACCGCTAGAGGCGGCCTTCACAGTTCCTACCCTCCAGGTCCCCGTCTCCTCATCTGTCATACACACACACACACACACACACACACACACACACATACATATTTGAATACATTCTATATTCATGTGTGTGCGTTTAGTTCTTTGGGAGTTGAAAAACTGAGATTACAAGAACAAGAAGTAAATTGAAAAATTTTCCTTTGATATTTCAGCTACCAAACGGTAGTTAATTATGATCAGATAGATTATCATGCCTATTGCTTCCTTAAATTCTTTACATTTTAGGTGGATTAGCGCTACTAGAAAAGGAAACTAAATCTTTAAGCATTAAGAATTTAGCTAATTGTAAATTAAATGTTGATAGGTTTCGAATTTGGTCCTCGCGCTGGTTCCGGCAGGCAATTGTTTGAAGATAAGGAGTCTCAGACGCGGTATTTATCACTAAAGTTGAAGCTTAGCAGCTTAACAAGAATTATATAGTCTAATTTGATATAATTATGTGTTTACTGAAAATGTGAAAAAAATTGGTGACACAGTGTTGATGTAGCTCAGGGGTACATGACTAACTCTGACCTGGGACAGGCCATTAAGGCGTTCGGCCAAAGATGCAGTAACATTTCTACGGCTTACAGGTGATTACTTGGGCTTGTGCATTTTTAACATTTGCCAGATTATAATTTTACCACTTGTTAGTCGAAATAAAACAATCATATTTGTTAGTGGTAGTTTTAGCTGGATAAATACAGGTTTTAATTGTAGGATTTTGTTTAGGCATCTCATGATGATTATGCTGATTTATTCTTTTTATTCTCCTGTTGAGGGATTTCTCGAATGGATTATCAGTATTGGGAAGAGTTTTATTTATTAGAATAACATCTTGACACACATCTTATGAAGTTGGTAATGTTTGATGTATTATTGCTTGTAGTGGGTAGTAGCAATTTCTGCTAAGCCCGGGGTGGAAGAGCCTGAAGCTGCATTTAAGGTGAATGTTCTGTTACATACAAAAGCATAAACAAAACAATCTTATTTTTTAATATTAATTTATCCAAATTATATCCAAGCCGCCATTTGGTAGAAACTTTTGAATCCTGAAATTTTAATCCTTCCTGTATACAATCAATTTTTTGAAACATGGCAGGATTTTTGAAGGAAAATGCGTTAGCGTCCCCCCTCCCTTCTGTAAATAATAATAACGTAGAAATTATATTTGTTCCATAACCCAGAAAAAGTTATGATTCAAAAGAACAGGAACCTGCTTTGATTCCTTCAAGATTAGCACAAATTAGTCCTTGCAGCTGCTTGAAACTTACCATAGAGCTGTGTAATAAGGATTCAGGCACCAGTAGCTGAAATCTTTTTGCAACAATAACGCAGTATAAGGGTCAGAAACTTAATTACATTGATTGCTTATTAGTGGAAGTTAAAAAAGTGCGATATAGCTTCTAGCTTATTGCACCTTTGAATCCAGAAGGGTGCAATACCTGTTTACCACCGAATTGAGTTGATTCTGGTGTTGGAGAATATCCATCTTCACTCTTTAGAAAAGTTTTATTCATTCCGCTAGTTCAATTATGTTACTTGTCCCTGAGAAAGGACAGACTCTATCAATTGTATGTGTTTTGAGGGCAGTTTTAGTCACAATTTTTTGTTACTTTTTCTCTGATCTTGTGTGGAAAGAAATAAGGGAAATTGCTACGAGCCACTTATGACCACAAGAAATATATAATGAAACTGAGAAGCTGTAATATGACAAAGATTATAATTTATAAGTACATGCCGAAAAATCACGTGCAATTGGATATTTTCATTTCCCTCTTCTTCCTTAAAAAGTTCATTGTTTCTGAATTCGACTGCAACTAATAATATATTATTAATATTTTGTTTTATTGTTAGTCTTTCATTTTCCACCTGCCATATTTCGCGTTTACTGTCGAAAACTGAAGTCATGAATTTCACTTTTTGTCGAAAAAGTTTTGCATACTACGCCGATTTCAATTTATTGAGTGTGTACATACACTGACAGTGTAGTATTTTTGTATTCTGTGTGCTACTTGAAAACTTTATTTTGTTCCTTTTCCATTCCCCAGAATGTAAATCGATTGTTACTCGTTCATGCAATTTCAAGTGATAGTTTGAGCATTTTTTTTAAAATATGCTGGGTGCCTTGTGGATCGTCGTGGTGGGTTTACATCTCGTCCTCCATCATTTGATCCAGATCTTTGAACATAGAAAGTTTCGTTCTTCGAGGTTTCCGAGTCCCTTGCCATTGTACTTTTCTTTTACGTTTTACCAAAGAATCTTTAGAAATAAAAATTCTAAGAATAAGAATGTACGAAAAATCTACAAATGAACAAGAAAACAAAAAACCTTAGATGCGAGAGTCTTCTACGAGTGTGTGACTCAGCTCTCAATTAAAGCACCAATTTGTGGATGCAAATTTCTTCCTCCTTGTTCTTGGACAAAATTGTACCTACAAAACAAATAACATCTTAGGTCAAGGCCAATAGCCTTATGCGTTCACGATGAAGTTAGGGGGGGGTTTGGCCGAAGAGCCTCTGATGCCAAAGTTAGAATTTTGAGGGAAAAGTGCTTGGAGAATTTAGAGAATTTTGCAAGAGAGTTGAATGTTTCATTTATACCTATGATGCCCAATGTTTCTTTCAGAGAATTTTGCAAGAGAGTTGAATGTTTCTTTTGTACGTTGGCCTCAGTGAGAGTGTAGGTTTTGATCATTATTTAATTTTACCTATGATGCCCAATGTGTTCAGGTTTTTAAATGTTTCTTTTATAGTGTGAAACAAGCATGGTGATGTCAATAGTACGTCTTAAAGTGTGTTACTGTAATGTTATGAACATTGCCGATTACTTCTAATATGATTATAGATTTTCGGATGGTGCCTAACAATATGTGTAAGTTCTAAATAACAATATCCCAGAATTTATGCTAACGCTTATTAATTTTTATTTTGCACATATGCTCTTGTCTTTTGCTCTCACTACAATATGTCATTGCGCAAGGAATTTGAGGGAGGGATTACGAATCGAGCTTTCTAGTATGATGGCTTGAAACATTACAACTTATTATAGGTATATTTTCCTTCTGTTTGATATTCATCTATTGTTTCTTAAGACACCTGTTGTAGGTACCCTATAAATGGAGGCATGCAAGATTGGAACTACAAAAATGGTGGCTGTTTTGAATTGACATTGGAGGTTAGTGATAACAAATGGCCTACTGCTAATGAGGTCAGGCATCAGTTAGGGCGGGTGTTTGCAACCTTTAAATATAAAACCATATTCTTTAGCCAAGTATATATGGGGATACGGTTACGCCCTTGGTGTAGCCATTTGTCCAATGGACCTTAGGGGGGTGGGGACGGAACTTTGCATGGTACTGGCTGTTCATATTGTGAATGGTAATATAAAACCACTAATTGTCAATCCATAGTTTGCCTTGCCTTAATTTTTGCACAACAGCACACGTGATTTAATTCCTTGCTTTCCATATTGTGAATGGCAATATAAAAGCAAGCAGCAGAACACCTGAGAAGTATTCAAGGATACAGAGAATGCCTGATCCATCCAAAATTTATATAACATATCTAATGTAGCTCTTTAGTGTTATACTTTTCTTTGTAATTTATGGCAATTTTAAGTTACTTCATTCTTAGATTTTGGTCTTTTCCTGTGTTGAATGTTTTCCTTCATTGCCCTTATTTTCATCTATTGTTCCAGTTTTGACATATCTGCTTTGCAAATAAAAGTATGTTCGGACTTGTTAACGGAAAAGAAGAAAACTATTTTCAGACTACTCCTGGAAGTTTTCCTCTCTTTGCTAGTCATTTGTGAATTTTTTTCGCTTTGATTGTGATTATGTAGAGAACCTAGACACACGCCATTCAACTGGAGGCTTCTGTGTATACTTGGGTGAAAACTTAATATCGTGGAGGCTTCTGTGTATACTTTGATTATGATTTGCTGTTTTAAAGTTTAAACTTCAAAACTACCGTGTAAAAAGGGTTTTAAAAAAATTAGTATGATTTTCTGTTCTAAGTTTTACAACAACCTTTCCAATGATCTCAGGAAAAATACTCTCAATGCTTATTTTTTGCATCACCAAAGCCAAGTTTTAATCAAACCAAAGTTGTTGAGCAAAAAGTGTTGTTTCCTTAGCAACGTTTCTGTTTCTGGACTACAAGTTTGCATTAGTTACAAAATCAGACAGAAACAAATCAATTTCTGCCAGAGTACAGAAATTTGAATTCAACCCTTGGTGTACATGTTAACGCTAATGGCTTCATCAGAAAATGAACCTTAAGATCAGGACTGACAGAGCAGCCCCCATGGCGTAGCGCGTTTCCAAGGTACCCACTTGCTGCATTGGGCAAGATGATCAGATTGTTAATCAATCTTCTTAATGCCCAAGTAATCTGCAAAAGTGTTTATACATCAACATTCTTATCCACTCTGCATTTCAGTAAATATAGCCATCTTAATATATAGCTCGAGAGATTGATTACATTAACTAAGATGTCGAAACAAAAAATAATTTTGATGACAATTAAGCTAATGTGATAAATCGATGGTTACTTGCATTTTTTGTGACATGGTGACTAGTTACAACGCCTTTTGCAAATTTTTTCTGTGTCGTTGAAGCTAACACTTCCAGGTCCACTTGGAGCTGCCTTGTCACGATATTCGCGTGTTCGTTTCAGTAGTTTTTGGTTGAGTTCTTTCAAATCTTGCTCGTACACCAAACGAGCCCCACACTTCTTCACCATATTCAAGTCTGCCTTTAGTTGTCCCTCGATATCAAAAAAATAAGTTTCGAATAAACACTGTTCCTGAAGACAATCTTCACGACGTTGATTTCTATAACGACGCAGATAAAATACCCACAGGTGTTCTGACGCAACAGACCCTATGCGGTTGATCAAAACTCTATGGCTAAAATGTGCATCTGAATACCAAATTTCGAATCTATCATAATGACAAAGGGCAGCTGGATTTGCCAAGTTTTGCTTAGGGTCTTGAAAAACAACACAGAAGGCAATCCCAAGCCAGTTGGTACATGATGGTGGAGGAAGCTCCACATTTATTGAATGTCCCACACTTTGATTACTGAACCACTCTGGAATTTCACTTCCAGGGATTACAACTTTCAATCCCTGTAGCAGAAGAAAGATCAATTATTTAGAGAGAGAGAGAGTACCTGAATGACAAATATTAGAATCCTATTAATAGAGAGAGAGAGAGAGAGAGAGAGAGAGAGAGAGAGAGAGAGAGAGAGAGAGAGAGAGAGAGAGAGAGAGAGAGAGAGAGAGAGAGAGAGAGAGAGAGAGAGTACCTCAATGACAAATATTAGAATCCTATTAATCAAGTCTTCATCTTGAACCAATGCAATGCAATTCCGGCAAGTGACATAATCACCATAAAAACTGGATGGACCTGACAACCTTCGTAAGGAAGTGCAATTGTCCAGATTTACTCTTAGTCCTCTGTTTGATGGAAGAGGAGGCAATTTTTGAAGGCTTATACACCCCTCCAGATCAAGACTGAAAAGTTTAGAAAGGCGTCTAAAGCTTTCAGGTAGACTGACGAAATTATTTCTACTAAGATACAATACTCCCAGTAAGGACAAGCAGCCAATATCATCGGGGATATCCCCCTCCCGGAGATTACAATTCTCTAGAGATAACTCTGTCAAAGAGCATAAATGACTTAGAGAAGACAACACCAAACGCCAACAAGGAGGAGGATCAGGGTGACTCTTTTCAAGTCCAAATAAGCGGCGAAGGCCCCACCCATCCCTTGCTTTACCATCCGATCCACAAGCGGCTATGTCAGAATTTGTCTTAAATACTAGACGTTTGAGATTTTTCATGCTCACAAGCGGCTCTGTCATAGTGGGTCCCCAGCAAAGCGCCTCTAAGTGATCCATGTCTCCTGGGAGTTGGTCAATCTTTGAGCATCCACTCGCACTGAGATATCTAAGAGACTTCAAATTACAAATCGCCCTTGGAAGGTTCAAGAGATTTTTGCAATTCCTTACATGCAATTCCTTGAGGCCAACCAGATGTCCAATTGATGAAGGTATTTTCTCAATCGCAGTCCCATCTAAGTGAATCCGCAATACATTCTTCATCTGCTCCCCAAATTCTGGAATCTTTTTCACATTTGAGCAGCCATCAAGATCGAAAGTCTCAAGAGAATCCATTTCAACCTCACTTGGAAGGCTATTAATGCTTTCACAGCCATTAAGAAGCAAATGTTTAAGTCTTTTGAGGATTGCAATAGACGGGTGTATCTCAACTAAATTTTTACAATCCCGAAGGATCAACCTCTCAAGATTTGGAATACCACTGAAATCTGAGATACTCTTCAATTTATAGGAATTGCTAATATCAATATGTTTTAAGTTGGGTAAGTCCTGCACAACATCACCGACAAGGTTCAGATCATATACTTAGCTTCCACAACCTTAAAGTTTATTCAAAATAATAAATAAATATATGATTATTTTGTAAATTAAATAGCATTTATTCTCAATGAATATGGAAGAAATTTGGAACCTTCGGAATTGTACAATAAAAAAATATCAAGCGTTCCTTAATTTTAAAACTCCAGAAAAATTAAATAACACGTCTATTATTTTTTAAAATAATATATGTGTTAAAATATCATTTGACAAAATCAAAAAGTGAGTATTGACTAGTGAGTAACCAATATTATCTTTTGTTCATAACTACTCTTACCATTTTTCCCTCCCATAGACGAACAAGATTGCTATTACGCATCTCAAGTTTAGCAAGCAAGTGCGGGCGAAAGTTGGTTGGAAGAAAATTAGAAGGATACCAACTCCAATTTATAATTCTCAAGGAACATGGAAGAAATTTGGGGCCTGAAGAAAATATCAAATTATCGAATTCCAAAAACCTCAGTCCATCCATCTTTGAGAAGGCTTCGCAATTCCACTGGCGTACCTCTTCTACTTTGAGCAGGCGTAAGGATATGGCTTCAATTGCTCCTGTTCCCTAACATTTAAAGGAAAAAAGGACGAATTAATTTCATATAATAATATAGTGTCAAAAGAAATCATATCTTCTTCCAAACTTAGTATTTAACTTCTTACCGTATTCGTCGTAAATATATGATCAATGTCATTGTAAAGCCACAACCTACTACGTTGACCAGGCTCTTTAGACTCTTGAACAATAACTGTCCATGCCATTTCTTGAATCAAATCATGCATTCGTATGCATTTTTCATGATCTTGATAGATGAGAGATCTCTCAATTAGTACATCTATCATACTACTACTAGAGATTCCAAAAGAATTATCTAGCATTTTAATTACTTCATTCGTGTACTTCCCTTTGTGGAAACATGCAACGTCGAGAAAAATTCTCTTCTCCCACTCTTCTAGTCCATCATAACTTATTTTAAGTTTATCAAAAATTGCTGGATTAGGAATTTTTGACAGATTATCCCACACACTATTCCAAGTATCTAGCCTTCTCTTAAACAATGCTAACCCCAAGGTTTCAAGAGCTAATGGAAGGCCTCCAGCATAATTAATGAAATACGTTGACAGTTCCCAAAACCCATCCTTAGGCAGATTTTTCTTAAAGGCATGAAGGCTAAACAGTGCAAGAGCTGCGCCTTTATCTAACACTTTGACATTATGACATAATGTTATGTCATGCTGGACTAGCAGACGTTCATTTCTAGTTGTAATGATAATTCTACTTCCCATGCCAAACCAATCTTCCTTTCCAGCTAGTACTTGTAGCTGGTTTATGTGATCCACATCATCAAGTACAAGAAGAACTTTTTTGTTGCGCAAGCACTTCTTAGTGAAAATGATTCCGCGCTCTTCATCCCAAATTTCTTCAATCTTTTCCCTCAACACCGGGAAAAGAAGTCTTTTTTGAAGATCAACATTAGAAACCTCTCTAAGGTTGCCGAGAAAGCAGTGAACTTCAAAATGATGAAAGATTCTATCATAAACAAGCTTAGCAAGGGTTGTCTTACCTATGCCACCCATCCCCGTTATCCCTATAAAGCGTACATCATTGACATCATGAGCTAATAGAGAACTTAGTTGCCCAAGCCCAAAATTAACCCCAACTAATTTTTGTGAGGAATCTAACAACGGGAGTGTAGCTTGCACTTTCCTCCACACACTTTTGACGATTTTTTGTATAAGCTCACTTTCACACCTACATGGTATAAAATAACCATTGAAAAAACATAAACGAAGCATTCAATTTTGACTCTACTAAGACATGGGAAATTAAAGTTGTTCATGCTTACTTAGATTCCTTCGAAGTCCAACCACAAATTTTGGACACTCGCTTTAGATCAGCTTTCCATTGGAGCACCTTCTTTTTGCCTTCGATACTGATCAACTTTTCTTCATGCTCCGCGAAGGCTTCGGCAAAACATCCCCGTTGATTTCCGACGTCAGATGGATCTGTCTGATAAAAGACCGGCAGAACTGAGTTCCTGGCTTCCATGCATTGAAGAATGGTTGTAAGTTCATCCAAGCACCATTTGGAAGAAGCATAGTTTGGTGAGAGAACAGCAATTGCAATATGCGATTCTTTGATCGCACTTGGTAGCGCAAGATGAATACTTGTTCCTCCTTGAAGCTCTCGATCGTCCATGAAAGTCGTAATTCCTTGGCACTTGGACAATTCATGGTGTAAGTGGGATACAAAACCCTTGCGTGTGTCTACACCCCTGAAACTCAAAAACACATCATACTTCCATCGAGGAGCTGATTCATTGAAAAGAAAAGATGCCGAGGCTCTATTGGTGCTCAAAGTCAATGCCATCGAAGAAAACAGTTGTTGTAATCGGGTATTGCAGACAGTAACTGAATGAACAAGTAAAAAGATAGAAGATCAATGTTTTTAGATTATATAAAAGAATTTGAAACTTTAAATCTTCTTTTGGTAGTGGATGTACTTGCAGTCGCAGGGTGGAGAGATACTAGGGGATCTAAAGGTGAATTATTAGCTGGAGGATTGAAGGAGGACGGCGTGGGGTTGGCAGAAGGGACGGGTGGAGTGGGAAGTGTTTTGGCAGGAAGATGATGGAGAGGTGAAAATAGGGGTGGCAGAAATGGGGTATGGTATAGGTGATGGAAGTGGGTAGGTGTAGGACATGGGGACATGGGGTAGGATGGAAGAGATATAGGTGTAAGGTAATGTCGGGGAAATGGGTTGAAAAGTAGGCATGGTGGGGGTCAATATTAATTATGATGTTAGGTGAGGAGGGAGAAGAAGAAAACGGAGTAGAGATGGTTTCTTTATAGGGAAAAGTAGTTTCATCAAAAACAACATAACGTCACAAGAAGACGCGACATAGGTTGAAAAGTGGGCATGGGGGGGTCAATATTAATTATGATGTTAAGTGAGGAGGGAGAAGAAGAAAACAGAGTAGAGGTGGTTTCTTTATAGGGAAAAGTAGTTTCATCAAAGACAACATGACGTGACAAGAAGACGCGACCGGTAAACATATCTAGACACCTATAAGAGCAAGTCCACCCTTGTGGATTGCTCGGGGGACAGGCACCAGGAAAGGGCCTGAGGCCCGGTGGACAACCCTCTAGCCTTGGAAAGCCCGAGTGAAGGTGGGAGCTCGAGCACAAGGGGGGTGGGGAATTGACAGGCCTGCAGCCCGAGGGCCAAGAATTTTTTTATTTTTTTTGTGTCAGCCCGAGGGCCTGCAGCCCCATTTCCATTTTTTTATATTTTATATTATTTAAACAAACAAAAAAACTAATATTTTATTACTTATTACCAGGGGGAGGGCTCCAAGGGTGGAGATGTAAAAGGTAATTACTGTTCATTAAAGACAGTTACTATTTATTAAAGGCAGTTACTGTTCAATAGGATGGATTCAATAGTGGATTGCCAGGGGGGAGGGCTCTAAGGGTGAAGTTGCTCTAACCTTGTTGATTTAATGAGTAACCAAGAAAGACACAACGGGTAGAACGAAACTGTAATTTATTGGAGTTGTATGGCTTAAGATATGGGAAACATGCACAACCAAATATTTTAAGAATATTATAATGAGGAGTTTTGAGAAAGGTTTTTGAAATGGGGACTCATCATTCAAGACCTTAGTGGGTAATTGATTGATTAAATAAGTTGCAGTATGAAAAGCATCATCCCAAAAGGAAGTGGGTAATGATGCGTGAGCAAGAAGAGTAAGACCGGTTTCAACAATATGACGATGTTTACGTTCTGAAATACCATTTTGTTCGGAATGATGAGGACATGTGAAACGATGATATATACCATGATAAGTAAAAAAAGTTTTGAAATTATTATTAATATATTCACTGCCACCATCGGTTTGAAAGGATTTGATTGTGGTGCTAAACATGTTTTCAACTAATTTTTTAAAATTTACAAAGGTAGAAAAAACATCTGATTTTAGTTTTAATGGATATAGCCAGGAGTATCTAGAAAAGTCATCAATAAATACTACATAATACTTAAATCCATTGATTGAAACAGAAGGAGAAGTCTGTAGACATCGGAATTAGGTAAAATAAATGTTGATCAATAATTAAAATTTCAACGTTTATGTGTCACATGAATTTTACACATAGCATGTGACTAAACGAAAAATCAAAATAAATCGGAAAAGTCATCAAACGGGACACATGTCAACACCTGGCAGAAATGATTTATTTCATCTGATTATTTAAATCCAAAAAAAATCAAGTTTTGGAATTCTATAAATAGAAGGCCAAGGCATTCATTTTTAGAAACCAATTCATCACCAATTCACCTCACACCACAACCTTGAAGCTTTGAAACTCCAAGGCTCCCAAGCAAATCCCGAAGGATCAAGAAAGCTTTCTTCGTTCTTCGTCAAATCCTCATTCAAAAGCAAGCCCCAACGGTCCTTGAAGAACTTCCACTAATTCAAGATCAAGCCTCCCCCCTCACGGCCCTTGAAGAAAGTGTTCATCATTCATCATTCATTCATCCCTAGATCAAAGCCCCGACGGCCCTTTGGATCAACGACGTCAACAAATCCGCACAACTGTTTATCCTAAGATCAAGCCCCGACGGCCCTTTGGATCAACAACATCAAATCCACCCATTACAAAGATAGAATCAGAGGCTAAATTTGTAGAAGAGATTGTAACCCCTAAATCATCAATACAAATATTATTTTGTACACGTGTTTCTTGTCTCGTTCATTGCAGGAATTTCTATGTATACAAAGTCCATACATCCGAATGAATTAATTGTAAAGGAAAAGTTGACCTAGAACTAGACAAAGTAAAGGGTAACTTGTGACTCTTGCCGAGTGGACAGGAGTGACAAAAGTCACTAGTTACAACACCATTCACGGGTAATTTATTCTTGAAAATTAAAGAATTCAAAACATGAGTTGATGGATGACCTAATCTAGAGTGCCAAACATGATTGGACACCCTAGCACCTATGAATGCAGAGACTCCTTTATTGCATGATGAAATACTCGAAAAAGGGTAGAAACCATCTCTACTCAGGCCTTGGAAAAGCGTCTTCCCCGTGTGAAGATCCTGAACACCATAGGAATTTGGATATAAGGTTAGGGAACAGTTGTTGTCAGTTGTACATTTATGAATGGAGATGACGTTGGTGGATGCAGTAGGGCAAAATAGTGTGTTGGGTAATTTAAAAATGGCTTTGGGTGTGCGAATGCAAGAGTTTCCAATATGAGAGATGTGCAAACCTGTTCCACCTACTACATCATTGACTTGGTCAGTACCATGGTAAGGACAAAGATTAAACACCTGAGCTGGATCATTGGTGATGTGGGCATTGGCACCAGAGTCGAAAAGCCAATTCTGGAGAGCTGGAGCACTGGCAGAGGCAAGGGGAACACCAGCAGTATAGGCTTGAAGTTTTGGCGCTGGAACACGCCCTTCATAAGACAAGTTGAGACGGTTGAAACAACCGATTGCCGAATGACCATGTATATTACAAATTTGGCATTGGATCCGACCAGTAGGAAAAGAACTTGGAGACTGACCAAGAAGACCATCAGGTTGGCGAGAGTGAGAATGTTGGTGAGATCCATGATGAGAACCTGGGGAGTTGCATGGCCGAGAAGAGGACCCACAACCACCAGTGGGACTGTTGCGACCTCAGAATGTAGAAGATGAGCCACGACCGCGAAAACTGGGAGATGAACGACCACCATTGCGAACTGCAGCAAAGGCAGTTGGGTCGGTGTCAGTGGTAAAAGCAGAACGCAATTTCTGTCTTCTTTCAGCGCCAAGGAAGAGTGCTTCCAAAGCACTGTAGGTGATGGCCTCGTCACGAGCTTGAGCGGAGGCAACCGTGCTCTCATAAATAGGACCAACATTGTTAAGGATGATGGCGACAATGTCGGAGTCTGAAACAGGAGCACCAAAGAGAGAGAGTCTCTGCTAGACAATTGATTTTATCTAAAAATTCAGAAATGGAGGAATCACCTCTGTGAGTATTCATCAACTCACTGTGAAGCTAAAGAAGATGGCCGGTTGACTGAGAGGCATAGCGGTCACGGAGGGTTGTCCAAGCAGAGTGAGAACTGGTTTTCCTAATTAAACCAGCAAGGACAGTGGGGTGAACAGAAAAATTAATCCAGGACAGAACTGTAGCATCCTGTTGAATCCAGGTTTCGAAGTCAGGATTGACTTTGTCAGTGATGTTGCCATCTGCATCTTGCAGAAATGCTGGGGGGCATTGACTGGTGCCATCGACAAAAGAGACAAGATTGCGACTGCGGAGAAGAGGAAGCATCTGAACTTGCCAGAGAGGGTAGTTGGTACGATCAAGTTTAAGGGTGAGAAAATTGGAGGCATTAGGTAAGGGAGAAGAAGAGGACGCATGAAGAAAAAAAATTTGTTTTGTCGTGAGACTTTAGCTCTGAGATACCATGAAAGAATTCAAGCTAGGGTTGAAATAATCAATTGCATAAGCTCAACTCAATTAATTATGAGCGAGTCATGTACTTCATTATATAGGCTTTACAAGATTACAATGAATCTGTTATCAGAATTACAATCGAATTCAAATTACAAAAATACATAACAGAAAGCTAAGGTACACTGTGATGATAGAGTCATGTTGAAGGAGGACTATGATCCTTCTCAATCTGTTGAGGACATCGTGTGTTATCCAAACTCTGTGTTGGAGTAGTTGAGTGAGAACCATATACTACGGACTGTGGTTGCTGAGTTGACAAGGATTGCTGACATGGAGAACCTGTAGAATTATTAGGTTTATCAATTACAAGATACAATTTTTATTCGTAACTACATGGACTCACTGCGGTCAAATATATGACTCAGTGTCAACACATATTTGACAATTTGATTTGATCTTACAGTCCCCATTAACTCAGTTTAAGTTGTTGAGTCATATTCATTTACTGAAAAATGGGTTCTGCAAACAAAAACAGTAGTCAATGAACAAGAAAAACAAAAAATGAGCAATGAAAAAAATTTAGAAACTTTAAATCTTGTTATGCCAATTGAAGCCCTATAATGTAAAATATTGTTGTTTATTAAAAAAAAAAAAAAAATTTCATGTGTGTGCATTTAGTTCTTTGGGAGTTGAAAACTGAGATTACAAGAACAAGAAGTAAATTGAAAAATTTTCCTTTGATATTTCAGGTACCAAACGGTAGTTAATTATGATCAGATAGATTATCATGCCTATTGCTTCCTTAAATTCTTTACATTTTAGGTGGATTAGCGCTACTAGAAAAGGAAACTAAATCTTTAAGCATTAAGAATTTAGCTAATTGTAAATTAAATGTTGATAGGTTTCGAATTTGGTCCTCGCTCTGGTTCCGGCAGGCAATTGTTTGAAGATAAGGAGTCTCAGACGCGGTATTTATCACTAAA